AGTTTCAATAATTAACACATTGCATACATTCTTCCTAGTGGTTAATTGCTGTACAAGATGTGGACACAATATCCTATTTACAAACACTATTAGAACAAATCCCTCCATTCATTAAGAGAATGTAGCTATATATCTATCCTAACCATTTTGAATACACAGATACAAAATGGATATTCATCTGTATCCCCTTTTTTTGTTAAGTTCCGTTATTTGAATATTATAGGTGTGCTAACTCAGCAAAATATTCTAAAAGAGTCCAGTAGTTCATGATAGTATTGGGCCTTCCCCTTCACTGGCAATGTCAGAAATTGTTGACCTGAGTTCCCTACAGCTCAACATAACAGCATGGCTTTACTTCTTATACTTCATTTTCATACTTTTCTGCTGGATGGTTAAGACCAAGGTAAAGCAGGACCTATGCAACAAGAGTTGTAGGTTTTGGGTCTGATAAGGTAAGTGAAATCCCCTCAGCATTTACGCTGAGATCCTCGACCTCAGATTGTAGAACCTTTGTCAGTGTCAACCATGTGGATGGGATGAGTCATGGCCACTGCTTGGCCAATGTGCTCTCTGTGAAAGCCTAGGAGAATGTTTTCTCTCCATGTGACTCTTTAGGCCCACTCTACATCATTGATCACTTTCTTCTTTGGCCCTATAATCTCCTTGATCAGAAAATTTGGGACACTACTGTTTTATATATTTTTAAATGAATGGTGGGAAGGAAGCAGAGTTAATTAGTTGAAAAAATGCTTTTAGACTCTAATAGACCTAAGTCTGAATCCAGTAAACTGGTTTACCTGGTTTGAATTTAGTGATCTATATAATCTTAATCAAGTAACTTAATTATCTGGTCTGTATTTCCTGATGTTTAAAATACAAATATTACTTAAAAGATTGTAAGAATGAAAAATCAGATATCATACAGAACAGAAATCAGATGCAAAAGTAACGCTGAGAGTCACTAATTTTTTTTAACTTAGGCCAAGATCCCCGAGAATGAATACTGACTCTGGAATTGCCAAACATTATCCTTCATAAAGAAAAAAAATTCTTATTGGTTTTATAGATATTGGATATAGTTCATATTCTAGAAAGATCCTGAACATGAGTAACAAATGAGGAAATAAATGATAAAGGTAGAAAGTGATACACAAACACTTGTCACTATTACTATTAATAGATTATACTTTGATTATGTAATATTTTTAAAGATAATTAGCAGGGCAAAAATACCTGGAAAAAAAGCTTGAAACACAGGATAATTATTATCAGTAAAACGATAAATTACTTTGATACCTGAATCGCTTGCTGCAGTAACAACTGTTCCACCAGGAGCAAAAGGATCATTGTGCTTCAATGTTTCCACCTAAACAATTACACAAATCCATTACTGAGAGAGGTAACATTTTAGAGGTGGAACACTGTCACTCTGCAGAAAATATTCTTAATGAGTTTTAAATTAAGGAACATAAACATTAGGAACAAATATTTTATCCTAAGAATTTGAAGTCTTATATACACAATTTTTTGTGTGTTTGTGTATATAGGGTTTCACTATGCAGTTAAGGCTGGCTTCCAACTTGCAATCCTTCTGCCTCAGCTTCCCAAGTGCTGGGATTACAGGTGTACAACACCATGCCTGGCTACACACAATTTTTTAATCTCTTAAAATTGTGAAATATAACATTCATTCCAAAGACTACATAAAATATGTATGGCTTAACAAATGTCAAGTGAAACCTAGGCAACCATCCCCCTACCAACGCTTCGTGAGGCTTCACGTGCCCCTCTGTGGGCACAATCCTGCCCTCCCCTGTAGGAGGACCAGATCCTGGTGATACTCATTTCTTTTTTTTTCTTCATAATATCCCTACTTGTAGAGATACATGCTGTTTTAACTTTCAGTCTGAAATAATTAAAACTTAAGTTGCAAAGATAAGACAGAGTTCCTATACACACTTTATCCAGTTTTAATATTTCATATAATCATGATATAGATATGAAAACTAAGGAATATAGCACAGAACTATAAAATACAGACCTTGTTTAAATTTTATCAAATTTTCCAATATTCTTTTTCTACTCCATGATCTCATATTTCATTTAGGATAGACATTATTTCTGTTACCTGTCTTTTATTCCGTTCTATATTTTATTCATACTTTGGATTTCTTATGAGAGAAAATACATGGTATTTCAGCTTATGTGTCTGATTTGTTACTTAAGTTGCATCTGTTTTTCTACAAATAATTCAAATTTAGCCTCCTTTATAGCCAAGTAGCATTCTATTATGTACAGACATCATACTTTGTTTATCCATTCATTTACTGACAGACATATAAGCTGTTTCCAAGATTTACCTACTATGAACTGTGCTGCTATAATCACTGGAATGTGTATATGGCTGTCTTGTCTGTTTTTCAACAGGGTCTTGCTATGTCGTTCAGGCTGGCCTTGAACTCACTATGTAGCCTGAATGAGTCTTGAACTCACTGCAATCCTCCTGCCTCAGCCTCCTGAGCCCTGATATTACAGGTGTGCACTATCATGCCTCACAATATGAAGGCTTCACTTCTTTTGGAAAGACATCTAGAAGGGGAATACCTGGCATGAAATTCCATCTTACCCCAGAGAAAAGGGGCTTTCATCAAGAAATCAAATGCAGTAATACTTGGTTCATGAATACTTCTACTCATGAACAATTTGGCTTGCAGACAAGTGTTCAGCAAAATTTTGCCTCCATTCGTGACCTCTGCATTGCATGGTGAACACAACTGCAGCCATCTTTCCTGTAGTTCTGGAATGAATTGAGTTCACGAATTGAGCCACCACTTATAATAGCAAAGGCTGCAGTGTAAAAGAAGCCTTGTGCACTGCTGGTGGGCATGCATATCAGTACAACCATTATGGAAATTTCTAAAAAAAAAATAAATAAAAATAGAAATTTCATTCAACCCAGGTATTCCCCTTCTAGACATCTTTCCATGTTTTCGTTTGCTTTTTTTTTTTTTTTTTTTACTTCTTTTTTTCCCCATAATTTTATTGAGAAACAAATAGCAATGAGACAGTTTCAAACCAAACTGGTGGGGCAGTTTCAATAATTAACACATTGCATACATTCTTCCTAGTGGTTAATTGCTGTACAAGATGCAGATATGATCTTTTGCTCATTTTTAAAAAACCTTTTTCCTTCTTTCCTTTCTGCCACCCTCTGTCTTCTTCCCATCTCCATTCGAACAGTTTCTTCCTATTTCACAGTACCCATTATACATTTTGGTCCTTATTTCTACTTTTGGTTTCTCATACCACACAAACAATGCAATGTTTACATGTGTATCCCATTTATTTCAGTTTAAGAGTATGGGCTCAAGGCACATCCATTTACCTAGAAATGTCTCAAGCACATCCTTCTTTATTAGCCTACTTTTTAAATTTTTGCTGTTATTTCTTGTGCAAGTGGAGCTTTCTTCCCGAAGTCCTTGACTATACCTATGACTTCAAAAGTTTTACCTAGTTTATCTTCCAACAGGTTAAGTGCTTTTGTCCTGCTATTTAGATCTTTGATTCATTTTTATTTTAAGTGTAGTACATGGTGAGTGATATGGGTCTTGCTTCAATCTTCTGCATGTGGATAGCTAGCTTTCCTAGCACCATTTACTAAAGAGGCTATCTTTCCTCTAGTGAGACTCTATGGCACCTTGTCAAAGATCTGGTGGCTCTGTGAGGATGTACGTATTTTAATTCTTAAAGTTTGTAGTACTTAGTATCATACAATGCTGTTTCCATTTAATTCTAGCATGTTTTCTTTTAGAGGAAACACACAGACAGGGAGGAGGGGGAGAGGATGGGAGGGACATACAAAGAGCAGGTAAGTGTGAGGACAGGTAAGGCTTTTTACCTGAGTTAGAGATTACTACCATTGAACTATCTTCCTACTTTATACTTCAGATTTTAATCATAGTCAAACAAATTATATGTTTAGGAAGATAATTTCTTTTTCCTGGTGCCAGGCTTTTAAGGTACTAGTAAAAAGCCATGCAAGTAGTTAAGTGATAGATACGAGAAACGTTTCCAAATATGTATATCCAACTCTCATCATGGCTACCAGTGACACTTGTATTTCAAATTTTATTTCCAACCATCAAGAAGATGGGTACTACAACTGAATGTCAAAGGATACTGCCAGGGCTGAATTTATAAATTTCCAAGAAAAACAAATATAACAGAATAGAAAAGTAAGGCTAACTACAATTTGTATTCTGTAAAAGAGAATCCATTAAACAGAAAAGTAAATACTGTACTAAGGAAATTTCTAGAAATAAAATAATAGTACTTATTTTAACTAATACCATTATAAAATTAGCACTCTAGCTTAGATTATTTCTGCCAGATATATATGTATGTATGCACGTATGTATTTATTTAGTGCAGGGTCTCACTACGCAACTTGACCTCGCAGTGATCCTCCTGTTTTCAGCCTCCCCAGTGCTGGGATTACAGGCACGCACCACCACACCCAGATCACTGGCTCAGTGCACCAGGGGTGGGGCTGGCACATTATGTGGTGCTAGGGATTAAACCCCGGCCCCTGCACTTGCCTAGGCTGAGCTATCTCACTGGCCCTCCAAATAGTAATTTAACAAATACAAAACTTATCTATATAGTGAAATGGCCTTCCATGTTTCCTAGTACCATAGTCAAAATGCTAGTTTGCAAAACAGTCTCTGATACAAACTGTTCCCAACTATCATTGCTGCTTTTTTCGATTTTGAAGGAAGCAAAAATATGTCTTATTTTCAGCTACAGCCTACAGATCTGATTTCCTATTACAAAGAAAAAAGAATACCTTGACTGGTATCTTTCTCTTTTTTTTTTTTTTGGTGGCTGGCTCAGCCCACACTGGGGGCGGGGCTGGCACAACATGTGATACTGGAGATCAAACCATCAAACCACAGTCCCTGCACTTGCCTAAGCTTGTCTAAGCAGGTGCTTTAGGTGGCTGAGCTAATTTGCAGGCTCCTGATATCAGTTTTAACTTATGTTCTTTCACCATATACTGTGGAACTACCCAAAAGGGCAACTGGGATAGCAAGAGGAACAGGAGAGAATATATAGCTTATGAAAGAGTAAGTGGCCACAAACTTTTATGTTTAGTGTGATAATCAGGCAACTTAGCATGCAAAAGTAGTTTTCATAAGTAAAATAAAATTTTATTTTATAAAATTTTTCATAAAATTCAGGTGGTCAAATTTATAGAATTAATGTTCTAATGTCCTCCTACAAGGTCAACTAATTTATCATGGACATTCTCTCCTACATTAGCAATGAACACCCCTGCAGGGGAGCTGGTAACACTTAGCATCTGTACAATGCTATTATATACTAGCTAGGACAGCAGGAAATGGCCAGGTTTTTCATTTGTTTGTTTTTGTTTTTTTGCCCTGTTCACATTATGCCCAAGAGAGCAGAGACAAAAATTTTTTAAAGGAACTGGGAAGACTCATATCTTTTTTTTTTTTTTTTGTTACCGGGCATTAAACTCAGAACCTTGTGCTTGGCAGGCATGCACTTATGCAACTGAGCTATCTCCCTAGCCCCAAGGTTCACCTTGCAGAATCAATACTACTAACTTAAATTCTCTAAGCCTCATTTACTTTATCTTAAAATGGGAGTAACATGAACCTTCTAGGACTGTTGTATAAATTAAACAAAGTATACATAAAAAGAGCCAAGTCATTCATTGACACAGAAGAGATCAGATGAACTGCAGCTATTGGTATTATACTGCCTGTTTTAACGGAGAGGTAATAGAAAGGATAGTATTTCTTTTGAAAGCAGGAAAAATGGAACATGTGACAGAAAAATCTCAACAGAGGAAAGGAGCAACAGGAACTTGTTATTTCTAAGTCAGGAAGAGGTGATTTGGCTTCCTAATTTTTTTACTTGATCAGATTGGAGAACAAGAGGGTAAAATAAGAAGATAATTCAGACTGTAGTCAACTTCAGAAGAATTTGGTAATTAGTCCACACTGTAAACTAAGCATTGTAGCAAGATAGAGTATCTAGTATCCTGTAGAAACCACAAATATTTAGTTACAGAGATACCAGTCATTTTATATCAATGGAAAATGCCAGTTGCTGGCCAAGTACTTTTCTGAGTACAGTAAGAAAATAATTTAAGGACACCAAAAAGAATTAATTTCTCTTTTAAAGGATTCTTAATCTAAGAATATTAAAAGACAAAAGTATTTTGTTTCAAATGTCTTCCCAATCGAGCTGGGGAGACGGCTCAGTGGAATAAGCGCTTCCCTGGCAAGTGCAAGCAAGGTCCTGAGTTCAATCCCCGGTTCCACAAAAACAAAAAAACAAAAACAAAAAAAAACCCCAGCAGGGGTGGTACTTCAAATGTCTTCCCAATCGACTGCTTATGTATCCTTTTACTTACAAATATAAAACTACTACCTCAAAAATGGAGTCTCTAAATAAGCAACTCATAAACCATTCATAACTATGGAAATTGAGTGATGGATATATCAAGGTTTGTGTTATGGTTTGTGTCTAGTTGTCCCCCCAAAGCCTCATGCAGTCATGGGGTGAGGACTTGTAGAGTTTGTGTTAATTCATGATCCACTGGGATTATGTGTGATCCAAGACTGGGATTATGGGTTTTAGTACTGCTGGGATTACCCATAGGTGGGTAAATACTGGGAAGTACC